CTGAATTTGTTCTAGTTTTTAATATTCCCTGCTTGTGTCCTTTTCCAGGGATTAGTCTTTCCTGATACCATGTCCAAAGTACATGACACAACATTTCGCCAGCGTTGCTCATAAGGAGCATTATGACTGTACTTCTCCCAAGACAGATTTATTCTTTTGGCAGTCCACGGTACTTTCAATATTCTTCACCAGCATCATAATTCAAATGCATCAGTGAAAGCACACAATCCACAAGCATACCTTTTCTTGTTTTAAACCATGTAATAGCCCCTTGTTCTGTTCAACCAACTGCCTCTTGTTCTATATACAGGTTTCATGTGAGCACAAGTGTTCTGGAAGTCCCATTCATTGCAGTTGTATTCAAAAGTTGAGAAACTACAAAAGGGCCAGATTATAGAATTTTGGTTGATAATTCTAGTGTTCGGGAGGAATATTGGAAATTCTATCAATTTCAATATCGAAAGAACAAACAAATCTGTCTTGGAGGAAATACAGTCAGAATGCTATTAGAAGTGAGGATAGGGAGACTCTTATTTCATGTACTTTGGATTTGTTATGAGGAGATCTATCCCTGGAAAAAGACGCTATGTTTGGTAAAGAGGAAGACCCTAACAGGAGGCTTGATACAACAGCTGCAAAAAACGGGCTCGAACATAATAATAAGGGTGTGGATAGTGTAGGCCTGGGCATTGTTTTGTTCTAATGTACACGAAGTCCCTATAAGTCAGAACCAACAAGAATATCCATCACTAGACATGAAGAAAAACCCAAGATGTTTAGCGTCCTAGTCGCTGAGTACAAGTTCATAAGAATCATCAGTGAAAACTGCCTAATCACCAAGTCATGAGGTGGTGTGCCTGCCTAATGCTCATGATCCATATTACCACCCCCTAACTGGATCATCTGAAAAACCACTTCACCAGAGGGGGCACCTAGTGAGGTGGTCAGTTTCACATGTCAGAGGGAGAGGGAAAAGACCAATCAGTTCCTATCACATAGCATTGTTCCACAGTCACCTCAAATCAACATACACTCCCACAGAGGTGCTCAGTGAACCTAGGTACAATCAAATCCAGAGATAGTGGGGAGT